CTGAATACAAACAACCAAAAGCTGAATACAATCAACCAACAGCTGAATAAAGTGGAAGGACAGTCAAAAGACCACCTAGAGTCGACCCCAACGGGGTAATACTCACTAACACAAAAAAAAAACTACTAAACTAAAAAGACCCCAACAGGGTAATACCCAAATGTCGGATCCCAACAGATAATAAGTTGACACTCGGGCTAACCGAGGCCAACGGCCCAAACCTAAAACACAAAGACAAACACAAACACAGATACGAAAAATACTAAACAAAAACACAAATAAACTAAAATAAGCTAACAGCCCTTCCCAGCAAACGAACTAGCCCACCAGCAGTGAACGAACTAGTAGTTAAATTAAAAAAAGTTTATAATTATAACAAAATAAAAATAATTTATCCGTTAATATTTATTTCAACGAATATAAATAATTTATACTTTACTTTATTATAAAAACTAGTACAGTCCCGTGCGATGCACGGGGGTTTATTATCTGCGTCCCTTTTGTAATGTTCAGTTAAAATTCAAAGTACTTACTAAAGGAAAGATCATGTCATTAATAATAAATAAATTAATAAATACAATGATAATAAAATCTATATATTATTGAACACTTCCTTATATACAACGTTCATGGTTTGATTCTTTGGCACGTCATCGTCGCCACAAATTAGGACTTTCAAACCCATTTCTGTTTGTGACACGGGAGACATCAACATACAATTGGCCATGACTAAACACTGGTTTCTTAAGAAATAAGCCCACATGCGATAATGATTGTTCCTGGCTCTTATTTATAATAATGGCGTAAGAAAATATAATGGGAAACAATCAATCCAATAACATCTACAACAATATAAGAAAATGCATCATATTGAAATGTATAACATATAAAATAGTTTATTACAGATTTTAAATTAAAAAAAAATCGAAATAAGAAATAAACAAAAAAATTATAACGTACCAAACAACATGACTTCATCAATGTTACGGACATCCATTAAAGTTAGAAATAAGAAAATCACCCCTCCATTTGATAATCTTGGTTTGACCATTGATAATGATCCTCCTTTTTCCCATCGTCGATTTATGGATGCCAATATTACTTTCCACTTGATAGTTTGTCAAGATATAAGCGCCACCTTTTTCAATATCACCGATGATTTTTTGGATATTGACAGGTCGAATTATGCCAGTAATTCGTCCTCCCTAAAACATTGCATAATGAATAATTCAATAAATAAATTATAAAAGATGTTACATAAAATGACGCATTTAAATAATACTAAATGAATATATTATCTCAAAATCATGAAAGATAATCTCAAGAACATTTCGGTAATTGCGTACGTCTTCAACTCGTTGGAACATCCTAATTATGCGTAGCTTGATTAGTGGATTATTAGATCTTTTGATATCCTTGATTACTCCAAAATCCGAAGTCATTTTCAATGGTGATGTAAAAGCTTGTAGAAAAAATTGTTTTGTGGGATATATTGGATGTCGAATACTTTTTGTTCAACGTTGGTGATGTTTATATAGTCATGTATATGTGACATATGTCTGGGAATTAAAAAAATATTTACGTAAGGTACTTAATATGATCCGATCCATTTTTTTTATTATGATTATGATTGACTTCTAAAAATATGTGTTGTTGGTTTTGTTAAAAACATAAAAATAAAATGTGGAACGTGATTCACTTGTGAGGGACGAACGAATATTTAGAAGATTATGTAGCAAAAAATAATGGAGTTTGTTACAATGAAATTTGGTAAGACTTTTTGGATAGATTGAAAAATAATATTTATATTTTCATATTTCCCTATTTATTTGGACAAATCCAAAACTTTAATTTACGAAATTATAACCTTTAATTTTTTGAAACGTGTAAAATTTTCTAAGATAACTTCTATAAAACAAAATGTGATCAAATCATAATTGATTTTTATGCCTCAATATTCCAAATCAAACCTTACAAATATGGTATGATTATTTACTATTAATATTTTATTTTTTCAAACGTCTGATTCTCTTAGGTTTATATGAAACAAAGTTCAATCAAATCAAAATTGATTTTTATGCCCACACTAAAAATTTATCAATATAATATGTTTATGTTATTATTATTTTTTTTTTCAAATCCACAACTCAAATTTTCGAGAGAGAGAAAAAAAAAACAAAATCTTATCAAACCTTATCAAATTTTCGAGAGAGGAAAAAAAAAATTGAAAACAAAATCTTATCAAACCTTATCAATAATGAAGATACGTATTTCCATGAAAAGCTAACAAAATACCGTGGTTACCAAAATCCTATCAAATTAGTTAACAAAATCCCATTAAATTGGTTAACAATATTGGAACGCATTTTGTTAGAAAAGATTTACGTAATTTATCTATCTAATTAATATCATATTAACGTGTGGACCCAGTGATATTAATTTAGTATAGCATCCATTATCTCGGAATAATTTTTTGTTTGATTTACAACATTAATTTGAATGAAAAAAGAAATCCGTAATTGTTGAGATATCTCAATTCAATATCTCAATTTTTTGGCATAAGAATCTTCAAGTTTGTTACCAACAAAAATAGATTCCTATGGGATTAATATTTAAAATGAATTAAATTTTGGTTTAAGAATATCCAAATTTGTTACCATAAGAATCTTCAATTTGTTACCATAAGAAACCCATAAAAATCTCCTATGGATTGGAGTTTATCAATATTTAGTATATCATCCATTATTCTCGAAATAATTTTTTGTTGATTTACAACATGAATTTGAAGGGGAAAAAATCCGAAATTGTAAGGATATCTCAATTCAAAATCTCAATTTTTTGGCATAAGAATCTCCAATTTGTTACCATAAGAATCCCATAGAAATCTCCTATAAGATTGGAGTTTATCAATAGTTGGTATAACATCCATTATTTTTGGAATAATTTTTTATTTGATTTACAACATTAATTTGAATGGGAAAAAAATCCGTAATTGTTGGAATATCTCAATTCAAAATCTCAGTTTTTTGGCATAACAATCTTCAAATTTGTTACCAATAAAAGTAAATTCTTATGGATTAATATTTAAAATGAATTAAATTTTGGTATAGGAATCTCCAAATTTGTTACCATAAAAATCTTCAATTTTTTTGGGATATCTCAATTAAATTTGTTACCATAAAAATCTCAAAAAATATTACCATAAAAATCTCAATTTTTTTGGTACATGTGTGTTTTTTTCAAAATTTCCATTAATAGTAAGTCAAATCATTTATTTTTTAGTCAAACTTACTATAAAAGTATTTTTCCAACAACCTCTTTATATTACTATAGATTATATTCTTATTTTTATATGACATGACTAATATATACAAATTTTTGCATCGCTCACCTAGTTATATTTTATAAAATGTACTAGAAATAATCTATGTTATGCCGGGAGTGAGAAAATATAACAAGCACATCTATACTTATATAATAAGAATTAACATTTATCCAAAATAGTAGGTCAAATTATGGTCAATGTCGGATTTGCATTAAGTATTTTCCAAAACTGGTAAGTTTTTATCTTTTTCACACTTCTCATTAATTATGTCATTTTCACACTCTCATTAATTATGTCTTTTTTACACTTCTCATTAATTATATCATTTTCACACATCTAATTAATTCATTAATTACAACATAATTATCATAAATCATTCCATCTGAGCTTTTATCGTTAAAATGTATAGCAATCTGTTATGACCTTATCTCATTGATATTTCCATGAAGCGTCCTTATCGCGTTCTATTTTTTGGTAACCACTCTATATCAATAACCGGATATTTGGTTAATGATAGCACACGTCTTTATTTCAAGGAGCGGATATTGTTTGACCTTTAATTAATCTGAACTAATTGCCTTGACTTTTCAATTTTTAAAAACTCTTTTTGTAAATATTTCGACTTAAGATTCGGATTTCATTATACAAGTCATCAGATTGTTTGAATGAAAATGAATGAAAAGAACACCAAAAACAGGTAGCCTTATTCATATAACCAATCCTAAAATATTAGTTTGTTCACCAAAAAGAGACAAATCTTAGAAATCCTAAAATATTAGTTTGTTCACCAATCTTAAAATATTAGTTTGTTCACCAAAAATATTGGTTTGATTTTTAGAATTTGTCTCTTTTGAAAATATTAGTTTGTGATAATGAGGAGTTACCAAATAATCAAACTCATAATGTTGTGTACAAGGAGGTTTTTAATAATATATGATTGTTACCGAACTTTTTATGATTCAACAATGTTCCTATGTATTTTAATGATTTCAATTTCGATCCTAATGCACGTAAGGTTATATTATTCTTCCAAATTTTACATCTCGTGCATCGTGCCGATACTAATAAATGGGGTTCATTAGTCAACCACCTCATCAAATGGTGCGAGACTGTGAACAGATCACTTTAGATATGATATTTGTTTTTTCCACAATGGAGGGTCCAAATTGGAATTCACGAAAGCTGTCTGACAAATTCTCTCTAACAACAGCTTTATTAATTCAATCCTTTTGCTTGCTGTGATGCTTTTTCTAATTTCTGTATGTCTTATTTAATTATTTTCATCTTGTCATATTGTACCCTTTTGCATTAACTGAAGAATAATTACTTGCTCCACACAAGAATTGAATCGATTTGACAAACACATTCCAGTGACAGCCAAATATGCTCGCACGATTCACTCCAGAAATATATTTGTTAGGAAATATTTTGGGGTGACAACAAATTAATAGTCATGCCATCAGGCAACCGTTTTCTATGACAGCATTANCCTACAAGCTAAACCCAAAAACCATATTTGTTACTCCATTTCAATGAATAATCCAATCCACAAGCTAAACCCATTGGAAAACACTACCATGAACTTCTTCACTATAACTCTCAAACTCAAAACTAAACCCATTCAAAAACCCAAAACACAAAAGACCAAAACAAAAATCAAAACTACCTCTCAAACTCAAACCCCTTCCTTTCTTTCCATCCATGGCAATCCCAAATCACCCGAAGCCAAATTATCGTCACCACGACCCTCACGTCCCACGGGCCCTCCCCTACTCGACCACAACCAAATCTTCGAAACCGAGTAGCTATCATTTCTCACACCATTACATATTCTCTTCCCATTATCACCACTCTCACCAACACCATTCGAACCCGGGCTCGAATTTTCCCCTCTCAATGCCACCCTAAGATTAGAGTTCCCTACCACATACTCATACGACCCCATCGAGTAACACCTCCTTGCATCCACACCCAATTTGCTACTTCCACACCCCTCCCCACTACTCTTCCCCTCCTCCCCTTCGTCCGTCTTCCGGAACTTTCCCAACCTCACCGGAAAAACCCCTTCCTCCTCCTTCTCCTCCTCTGCCTCAATTTCCTCTATTTCCACACTCTTTTTCATACCGCCACTCCCACTCCCATCCGAACACGAGTCGTCAACTCTCGACCCGTCGCTTTCGAAAAAGTGGTTCAAAGCCGGGTCAAGAACCGCCCCACGGCAAAGTGGGCAAGTCGAGTTTGTCAATAGCCAAGTGTCGATACAGCCCATGTGGAAAGCGTGGCTGCACATTGGGAGCAATCTCAACCGATCGATTTCGGTAAATTCGCACAAACAGACGGCACAGTCGAAGGGCTCTTGGGCGTCACCCAAAATGTCCTTGTACGCGAAAACGGGCAATGAATCTATGAGGGATTGGTCCAAACCGGAGTCGTGTAAGTGGAAAAGCTGCTGAAGCTGCCTCTGAAGGGCATTTTGGGCAGATGGGTCGATTTCTGTTGTGGTGGTGGTGGTGGTGGTGTTGGGTTGGGATTTTTTGGTAAGGAATCGGACGAGTAAGTGTAGAATGCCGGAGAGGAAGAAGAGGAGTGCTAGAATTACGATTATGTAAAGGACTGATGGGCTGATTTTGTTAGGGCTTGTTTGTTTGAAGGAATTGGGGGTATGGGGATTGTAGGAAGAAGATGGTGATGAAGGGAAAATTGGAGGTGGGTTTGTGTGGTAATGAATCCAAGAAATTTTCAATTGGGAGGGCATTTTTTTTTTCGTTGATTATATGAGAAAGGCAAAAGAAATCATCACAAAACTGATGTGAATCATGCCAAGTTCATATTTTCTTTTTAACTAGGTAACTGAGAATCATTCATCCGTTTCATTTATTTTCTTTTCTCTTTTTTTTTCCCCTCTCAAGTGTTTCGACAACTTCAACTCACAATCTCTCACAAGACAAACAGAGCACTGTAAAAGCTCAAATCTTTAGNCGATATATGTACTTAAAGGTTGAGACTTTTCCCATACCTTTGACACCAAAGAAGGAAAGCGATTAATGAATAAGAAACATACGGACCCAACATCCAAGTAGTTGAAGCTGCAAAAACCTAAGAAAAACAAAAACAAAGAAAGAAACAGCTTCTGGCTGCAAAATATTGGAATATAGACAAGATACAGCTTTTTTACGTTTAGTACTAATGAGAAGAAAGAGAATTTTGTAAACCTAAAATTGTTGTAACATCTCTCATCTTAAAGAATATGCATAAATGTGGAGATAATGCCCCCATGGGTCGGGTGGTCTAATGCAATTTCACTTAATTTACAGCTATTGCGTTGAATCTTTACCCGAGTTTCCAATTTTAAAATACACATAAACGGAGATACCACCAACATTCATATCTCTAATTCTCAATCAAGTCATACATATGGACTCTACACACCGTGCGGAATCTCTTCTTTTTCTTTCCTTTTTTACTTTTTCTTTTTAGACAAAGAAAATAAAAATAAAATCATTTCACAATTTATTGATTGAAGACAAGTGTAGCTAGAAATATTTTCTATCATGCGTTGCTAGAATCGAATTGTTTGGGTGTACAATTTTGTTTCGCTCATAAAATGTCAATCTCGACTCATTCATATAAAAAAACACAAAAGAGAAATTTAGTTTCAACGATCGAAGCTTAATTGGTTACACTCGATTTATTAAATAGTCTGAGCCAAACATGCTCACTTATTAAACGAGCACAAATTCGAACACGACGTATTCAACTTAATTTGTCTTCAATAATATCATTATTGTTATGTGTAAAAATTCAAAGTATGATATTTTTCGTAAGTGTTCAAGTAAATTATAAAACGAATGAAAAATAAATTATTAAAAATGTGTCATGTTGTTTTAGTAAATTAAAAATACCTTATGTTATTTTTTTAGTGTATTTACATGGAGATCGATCGCACTGAACATAAACTTATAGGGTTTTTTTTTTAATTGATAAGTAATTTTGTATTAAAAAAATAGTACCACCACGTAATTTCTTCTTGCTACTTAAATTTTATTTATAAATATAATACAATTTATTTCAAATACTACTAATAGACGAACATTTTATTAGGTAGGTCAACCCAACGTACTTGTTATATGATATTTCACTTAAATTGTGAAAATTCAAATGTCATTTTCATTGAATAAACAGGCCAACTTAACATGCATGCTATATGATATTGCACTTAAATTGCGGAATTCCTAATGTTTCATTGAATATGCTATGCAAATAAATGAAATTAAATTATATATTTCTTATATTCATATATCATTTATTAAAACGTCAATAAGTAATTGATATATTTAACATATGAAGTAATATAAATAATATAAATTAATAGTGTCTTAAACCGAACATTAAAATGTTAAAACAAATAAGAAAAAAATAACAAGTAAGATATAACCACAAAAAATTACATATGAAAAGATTTTAATCATGTCAAAAAATATGTATGATTTGATTTATTAATTAATATGTACTTGTTGATATCCGAGTTGAGTCACAAGGACCCACGGGTCAAGAGCGGAGATCAAGGCAAAGACGACCTAGAAATCAGATTGGCATTCGAATATCAGAAGGTTCGGACTTAACACAAGATAAAGATTATTAAGGATGCCACGTGGATCATATCCAGAGGTCGGCCCCTTTGCGCTCGAAGGACGAGGTCGACCTCCCCGAGCACGGGACCCAGAAGAACCTCAAAGGTCAGAAGCTGAAGACGTCCAAGTAGCGGTGAAAGTCCGACCTATAGATTCAACGAGGTCGGGCCCCGGAACGCGCATAGGATCTGAAAATCATATAATATTGCCACTTGTCAAGTGATTGCTCATGGGATGCGCCACCCTAGTCTGCCACCCTACTACACCTACATCGGTAGGACGGCTTGTCAGCATTAAATTCTCCACATATGTGCATTTAATGTCTGACAGATAATAACTGGAAAAATTTGAGATCTCATTTAATGCTCGTTAGAACGGCGCCGAACCTATCAATCCGAAGTGACAGGGTGAACAGTGGATGAACAGTGTCAGACTCAAGCTACTATAAATAAGAATTCACCCTCATTTATTGAGGGATTGTTGAACATTCTGCCAACTTTCTCTCTCTCTCTCTACATTAATTCTGCAATAAAACTCTGTAATTATCCAAGTGTAAGCAGAGAGCCGACCTCGACTTCAGAGGACGGTCTAGTGATTGAAGTAATAAAACCGATTTCCTTCATAAACCCATCTTTTCCTCATACCTCTCAACCTTAAATCTTTATTTAACAGTTGATCGATTTCGATCGTCAACAGTTTAACGCTAGAAGGAAAGCTCCATAAGTTACTTGGTGTCAACTTTTCTCGACTTCGTGGGAACACGACACTAGACTCTATCTTTTTCTTACTTTTTCTAAAAAACTTAATGAAAATGACTTCATCTGGTCACAACGAATCCACTCGCAAGTCTGAGGGCCAACGTGCCGCCGTGACGGCGAAGAAACGTCCCGCCGACACCAGCCGGAGCAACTAGCCCTGGCTGCTAAAATCCCGACCGTTGCCACGGTCATGCAACACCCGAACGTCATCAAAGTTCTAGAAAATACTTTTGCCAAAGCGCTAGCGAGCCACATGGCCAGAGCAATCACCGTGTTCGCGACGGAGAATCGGGCAAACAATCTACTCAAAACTCCCCAAAGGAGGCCGGGGGAAAGAAAAAGCACCGGCCTAGTCCAAAACGACGACGCAGTCCCCAAACCAAGAAACTCAAATTCACTGGGAAAAGGATGTTGGCCAGACACTGACGGAACAGACTAGCGAAAGTCGCCCCGAGTTGAACCCGTGGAACCGCAAGTCCGTCTACCAGAGCTTGGGCGGGAAAAGCCAGGCTGATCGTGACCTAAGAGAGGTCATCAAGAGAGGAAGGCAGTTAGGCGCGACATGGACGAGATCGCGTCCATTAAACAAAAAATAGCTGAGTTGGAGGCCCGACCCACGTCTCAAGGGAAACCGTCGTCTCCTCCCTATCAGGGTGTTGGGTCCCCGAGTCATCGACAAGGCGTCGCCTCTTTCCCCGGACATCCTGCAAGAGGCGTTGCCCGAAAAGGTGAAAGTTCCTTAGATCAAACTCTGTGACGGAGTTCGGATCCAGATTCCCATATCGACCTATACACATCGTGGATGGATCTGCACGTGTAACACCCCAACTAATTATATTTTGTTTTCACATTGTTGTACTACTTTTATTATTATTATTATTATTATTATTATTATTATTATTAGTATTATTATTATTATTATTATCGTTATGAGTTATATTTAATTTTAAATGAATATCAAGCTAGTAAATAAATAATAAATCCTTTTAATTAAAGTATTTTGGACATAATTATTATCTACTCAAAATTATTATGTGATTTGTATTTGTACATAATTTCCTACATGATCATTCTCTTCCCGAACCTTTGTTTATTTACTATTGTTTTAAAATGTAATTATTCCTTTTATTATTTTAGGAAAAGCCAATCTGTAGATTTTGTTTTTGGTCAAGATTGATTTTAATTTATATTATACCATAGTTAGTGCATCTTATAAAATCATTTGATTTTAGCTTCTTAAATTAGACCCCAATGATTTAGTATAAATATCCCCCATCCTATACCTCATTTTCACTCACAATCCATCTTAGAGGTAAATATTTTTCTCATCTTCTTCCTCACAAAGTTTTTGGTTGAAGAAGAATGATAAACATAAAGAAAGAAAGAAAGAAATGAAGAAAGGAAGAAGATGAGGAAAAATATTTGCCTCTAAGATGGATTGTGAGTGAAAATGAGGTATAGGATGGGGGATATTTATACTAAATCATTGGGGTCTAATTTAAGAAACCAAAATCAAATGATTTTGGAAGATGCACTAACTATGGTATAATATAAATTAAAATCAATCTTGACCAAAAACAAAATCTAAAGATTGGCTTTTCCTAAAATAATAAAAGGAATAATATAAACAAAGGTTCGGGAAGAGAATGATCATGTAGGAAATTATGTACAAATACAAATCACAGAATAATTTTGAGTAGATAATAATTATGTCCAAAATACTTTAATTTAAAAGGATTTATTATTTATTTGCTAGCTTGATATTCATTTAAAATTAATTATAACTCATTACNTAATAATAATAATAATAATAAAAGTAGTACAACAATGTGAAAACAAAATATAATTAGTTGGGGTGTTACAGCACGGCGCGACGGACACCCTAAGGTGCCGGATGTTTTGTCTTACACGTATCATTCTCTTTACCCCCACTCCATTTCGACATGGAGGCAGCTCAGATTGCCTTTAGGTCACACTTCATCGGGTCACAAGTCAACTTGGACCCGAAAGAATCCATCACCAATATCGTCCAAAGTGCCGAGGAGTGTTTAAAGGTGTACGTTGCCCGATTCAATGAACGAGTCCAGAACATGGAGCAGTGCCACCCGGAGACTCTGTTAGTTTTGACACAGGCCGGGCTGAGGCCGAAGACGCTGTTCAAATGGTCTCTGTGCCAGAACAAGCCGAACACGCACTAGGAATTCTTGGCGAGAGCCCAACAGTACATTATGGCCAAGGAATCAATTTCCATACCGACATTAGAGGTGTCCCCTTCCAAAGGGAAGACGAAGGAGGAAAAACTGAGCAAGCCGGCCAAGAGCATGGCCGAAGTACGAGCTCTGAGGAAACAAAGAGCGGAGGAGTTGCGGGAGAGTTATGAGGGCGTCTATTCGATTTGTGCGGCCGTCGTCTACAATGAGATCAAGTCCAAGGGGTTGATACCTGACCCAAAGCCAATCCAAGCTGACGCAAGCCGGCTTGATAAATCAAGGTACTGCGCCTACCATAAAAGGCATGACCACAACACCAACCAGTGCCGAAATTTGATCTCGGCACTGTTAAAGCTGATCAACGATCCGCAGATGCGAAAGTTCACCCACAACAATGATATGAAGATGAGGGGCCGGTTGGGGACGGCCCAGATAGTGATGATGAAATCGAAGCCCACCACCGAAGGAAGAGGCCCCCTCCGACCAACAACCAAGAGATCCTAACCTTTTATCCGACTCACCAAAAAGAGACCAACACTTCTATAGGGCAAAAGCGAGAACGATCCCCATGACGCACCGAAGATGAACAGGTGTACTTAGCCCGGCGGATCAACACAGGCCGGGGTGATCCCGTCCCATCCAGGAGACAAACCAAGGCCTATGCCTGCCGAGCTTACCACACAGGGCAACTGGTGCAGAATGCCAATAGCAGACCAACGCCCTCGTCCGACTCAAATTTGATCTCTTTCAGCAACGAGGACACTTTTCTGTTCGACCATCCACATTCTAACACGCTGATCATAACAACGCCAATCTTAGCCATCAAGGTGCATCGAATCATGGTCAACACTGAAGTGTACGTGAGTATCCTGTACTATGACACATTCAAGAAGATGAGCATCGACAGGAAAGAAGTACAACCGTGTCGGGACATAATCCAAGGCTTAGATAGGAAAACCACGTTTCCGGTGGGGCACATCGTGTTACCCATAAATATGGTGAAAAATGATGATATAATTGCATAAATATCCTGCACCTTAGAAATCACTCGTTCCACTTGTGACTTGTGAGGAGCCTTTTGTCTTTCTACTTTATTATTCCCGTCCCCTGTCGAATTTGAACTTTTTTTAACAGCTAAAACCGAGTTTTTTCCTCACATGAGCTCACATTAATATCCTCTCGCTCTTGCTTTCACTTTTTCCTGTCTTTACCAGTGCTTCCCATTGTTGTTCCTTCTGTGGCCATAATTTCTCAGAATTGACCATCGTTTTCCGGTTGCTCTGCCTGAGGCCTCTACGATTTCAATTGGGTATGTGACAATTGTGCTTCTTACAAGTAAAGTTCATTTCCTTACGGCCTTTTGTTGTTCTATTCAAGCTTCAATTTATGCCGCTGTGATCCATTTAGGTTTGCCTATTTGTTGGCCAGGCAATTTACAGATCTTAACTATTGCTTCTATTCCTGGGAAGAAAAATGTTTTTAGTCATTTGTTCCCAATAATTGGGCTGCATTTCTGCATCTTCGCTTTTTATTTATTGTAGTCTCTATTTCCTTCGCATTTTAGATAATTGTGTTTTTGTTTTCTTCCCATTCATTGAATTCTCGTAGTTTACTAATATTTTATGTCAATATTGCAGTTTTGTACTCTTTTCACATTGCAATTGATGCAATGTCTTGTTTCCTGGCTCATCGTGTCTGATTATATTCCTTCCCTTACTCCACAGTTTTGTTATTTTTCTAGCCATCCTTGCCTTTTTTACTGAAAAACAAATGACTCAAGCCTACGCAATTGAGCTTTACTTTGACCCGGCCCTCGAGAACCAAGTTTTGAAGGCATGGAACGTGTTAGCTCGACGCCAGATAAGCACTCAGTTAATCGAGATCGAATCACGGCCCCACATTACCTTATTCTCGACCGTTTTTGCCGACACAGCTAAAATCGAGAATGTCCTAAGGAATCTCACTTCAAAGCAAGAACCTCTGCATATATCCTTCTCCTCAATAGGAAGCCTCCCAAACGATAACAATGTTCTCTTTCTGGGGCCCACTCCATCTCTGTCTCTCCTTCAATTCCACACGCAGTTATGTGATGCCTTGAGAAAGGAAGGAGTTGAGATTGGGGAAGATTATCGTCCGGATAAATGGATTCCTTACTGTGCGGTGGCTGATGACGTGGCAAAGGGCCGTTTGGCGGAGGCTTTCAGTGTCTTGCGTGATTTGAAGATGCCGGTTGGTGGGTATGCAGTGGAAGTCTCGTTGGTCGAGCACCCGCCCGTTCGAGAAATAGTCTCGTTTCCTTTGGGTGTTCATTATGGTGGTGAGGTTTAAGGTTTATGTTTTTAATTTCGTTAATACTAATATTATGTTAGGATTTTCTTTTCTGTCTTTCTTAAACTTTGTAGCTTTTGGATGTTGCAAGAATTGGTTTTAGAATGTATGAACGGTGGTTAAAGAGATAAATTCAGTATTTAATTGGGGTTGAAAGCTGTGTGAATCTCTCATCAATTGTGTCTTGTTGTATTTGCGTTTTAGAAGTACTTTGTCCCTGTGAGAATAGTCATTTCAATTTGTTTGGATTTGCTTGAATGAATGTGTTGGATTTGTCTAATAGCATTATATATGTGTCAAAATATACTATGCGTGTTTCTACTCATGTTTTGAGTGTGTGCTTCGTAACTGCTGAGCCAATTTGGAATTTTTTGCACGATTGTGAATTTGGGTTGCTTCTAGAAATGACATTGCTGGTTTAGTTATCGTTCCCATTGTACGTGTTAGGTTCTGTAATATTTATTATAGCTGTGAATTCGGTGTAATATATAGTTTGCAAATTTTTTGTGATGAGAAAAAAGAAAATAGTAAAATTTACGTGTTCTACACTTGCATTTCTAGTATTTATGTGCCCCCCACATTTCAATCTATTTTTGTCATGATTCATCGAAATTCTATGTTTTTTTTTTGAACCTTGTTATTAGGAGTTCCTTGATGATACTATCTGCATTATTTCGAGGGAATAGGAGATACTTTACCTGCTAACATATGTGGCTAAAGCACTTCTATACGGATTGAAGCATGCTTGTTTGCACAAGCACACATCAAATTAGATGTTTCTTTTGCTAGCTAGACCTTTTTAAGTCTTGTGAAACACTATTGACAGAAGGTTTTAATCTGCACCATTAGCATCTGTAGTCTCCAATTGATTTAATTTTTATTTCTATTTTTATTTTTAATTTTTACATTTTCATACTTAACCATCTGGATTCTGTTTCACGAGCGATCTGCGATATGTGTCAGGAAGATTTGTTTCTTCATGCCATGAGGCCTGCTGAGCTTCTGTTTCTGATTAATTAAATGCAAATTCAGTTAGCCGTGATATCTTTGATAAAATGTGTTGTATTTCTTCCTGAAACTTATTTGTTTACATTGAGCCTCATAGATATTTATGTATTATGACTTCTTGTGCGCAATCTTGCTGTGATTATGGAGAATATGCAGATAGTCTTTTGTGTCTTTAATGGCGCACTTGTTTGTCTTCTGCATGATGGTGGGTGCGCAGTGCACTAATAGTGTGTGAGAACTGTCAAAAATGGGTGGGCAGACCAGGTTGGCCCGAAGCCACCTGGCCTAAGGGAAAACAGGACTTATAGGCAATGATTTCTTTCCTAAGTTCTGCCCACACTATGTGATAGTGTAAAAATATATTGGGTGATATGCATTGGATTAAACGAAAATTAAACAAGCATTTATCGAATAAATACTAATCTCGTTGGCTTACGTAGCAATTATAACGATTGGCATTTTAAAATCACGTAATGGTACAAATTTTGATTTGTAAAAAACTTTGAAAATTACCTTAATTTTCTTCTTAACAAGCAACGAATGAGAGACCAATCACAGGGTATGTGACAATCACCGTTTTCGTTAGTTCGTTGTAGGAATCTGACGAATGAGAGACCAATCACAGGGTATGTGACAATCACCGTTTTCGTTAGTTCGCTGTAGGGATCCGCGTGTCTTCCCTTTAATCTCTCTAATTAAGTCCACATTTTTTCGTTAGTAGAAATTATCTCGAGTAGAAACTATCTAGAGATTAAAAGCGTATATGAAACTTTAAGAGAGGAGATATTATTTTTTCTTGAGAATCCAACTCTCAGTTAATCGGGTGAGAAGTTGTCAGATTTGGTTAGCCCTTGTCATCTCAGGGTCAAGAGTTTTTGGATCTGCTTGGATTGTGGTAGTGTTCTTCTTTGTGTGTCTGACTTCGATTTGCTGTCTCAGATGGTGCCGTTGTCGAAGCTTGTTTAGGTAGCGGGGGAAGACTCGAGTTCATATTTAGTTTGGTTTTTGCTAATTTGTTGTTTTCTTTTGTTTTGATTTTTTTGTTTTTTCTTATTTATTAGGCTTCTTTGTGGAGCTTTTTACTTGCCTTTATGGAGTAGTTTAGTGTCCTTTTTGGAGTTTTTGTCTTCATTGCTTGGAAGTTTTTTTGTAGGGTTGTTCCCTGTGGAGGGTGAGCTCATATGATAATGTGTCTCTCCCCTGTCTCCTTTCTTTCTGTCACTTGATAGTTAAAATGATCCTTGTAATAAGTTGGTTACCGATTATACTCTATTTGAGTTTATTTTAATTTAATTGTCATTTGGAGAAATTAAAAACAACTTACAGCATGCGACGTGGGGCAATTAGATTAATCCGCCCCACTAACCATTTCTTAATATTTTTTGTTTAAGAAACTATTTTTTCAATTTTTAGTTTAAAATCCCCAACCTTTTTTCTTTTCATACCTCCTGTAAAATAAAATTATCCTCTATTATTTGGGCTTTTTATTATGTAAGTATGTAAATGTGTGAATTTGAATTCTAAAGATTCAATTATTAATTGAGTAATTCTAATAATTATTTAATTAATTTCTAAAGCCCAATTAACAAATCTAGTTGATTATTTTATTTTATTTTTTTAATGACTTCTAATTCAAAATTAAATTTAATTAAATAATCAAATTATTTAATTAAAGTTTCGTCAATAAATCCAACTATTGAATTTAAAAATTTCAAAATTTTCATCATAAAAAAACAAAAACGGTTAGGTTCACGATTAACTCTAGTAGTGGGTGTACGACTCATTTGTAATTTTTATTAATCTAACTCCTTTATATTCTTAAATTAATTTTTTAATTTCAAGAACTCAGAATCATGAGAACACCTATCAAGTACCATGATTATCTAGTGCTCAGTAAATTAGCGAGTAAATCTTTTTAATTGCAAGACCATACATGTTAAATCCTTTGGACAACTAAATTCTCGATTAAATTTTGGGCATAGATGTATAAGTCGAAACCCAGTTGATTTAATAATTATGATTTAATTTCAAGTTTAGTGATCACATTATGAATCCATATTCACATCGTATTGATCAGAGTCTTCGAATCACAAAAAAAAAAAAAAGTAAATGCACTTATCCAAATAAGTGTCAATTTTATGTTAGCCACATATAATTCTCCATACACATTAATACAGTACCTGAAATATCCCTTTATTGATTGTCAACAATTAAAAGGATAAATCTAAGTAAAGCATAATGTGCACAAGATTAGTATAGTGCCTCCAATCCGAAGATTAGCATATACTATTGAAACATGAAAATTCTTATTCCAAAGTTATAAACTTCCAACTAAAAGTTTTCATTAGGACATATTCAATGAACTTGTTCCAAGCATCTATATATATGCATTCGCGTCCATACGCTAATGTTAATGAAATGCATCAATACAACATCCCCGTCTAACGAGCACACATATGCAGAAGTTTTACCGAGTTATTAAATGACCTATATTGAAATACTCATCGATTTGGAACTTATTTAAAATCATAGCTTTAAAGATATTCTATGATTTCCATCAATTGCGCAACCATGTATCATAACTAATAAAGATCTAATGGCTTGATTGGTATAATGGAATGGAATTTGATAGGAATGGAATGAGTTGAAGAATTGAATGAATATGGGAAAGGAATGAAACAAGTTTTTCCATTGATGTATTTGGTATGCAGAATGAATAAGATTTGAACGGAATGACATTCTCACTCTATATTATCATTTATCACTATTTTATAGAAAAAAAATAATATCTTTATAATGTTTTTTTTATTTATGATAATAATAAAATTATTTTGTTTCCTATAAAAAATACTATATTTTGATAAATATTTTTTTTGTTGTTGTTACACTCATTTATATTATATAATAAATTAGTGAATTGTGTATTCATACATACTAAATAATACAAATATATCATTACATATACTCATATAAGCATATGTGGTCAAATATAATTTTTTATATTTTTATAATTTAATTTATGAATAAATATATAATATATATTATGTATAAAAATAAAATAATATCTTTTTAAAATATTTATAAATGCATTTTTTAGTGTTATATTATATAAGTATTTAATATATTTAATTATAATATGAACAATAAATAAAAATAATTTTTTGAACTTTTATTTGTAATTTATTTTAAAATAATTTTATTTAATATAATTTAATCGTGATTTATAGTATATATATTTATGTAATGCAGTAATTTTGGATAATTTTGTTAAAAGGAAATTAATATATTCATTCTCAATGGATTTGGAATGGTTAAAACCATGTGCTATAGGAGGAATGAATAATCCCATAATTATAGGAATAGTGATCCCATGGTAATGGTCATCCCTTAACATCAAAAGATACCAAGTATAGGAATGAGAATTAAATAAGGAATAATCATTCCATTCATGGCTTATTCCTATATACCAATCATGCAGTAAGTACTTTATCATATGTGTAAATAAGTAATAAATACAAAGACATAAGATAAAACAATGCCGCATATAATATATTTTTGAATAAAAGATCTTTACAAGTAGAAAAAGATCCAATCGAATTGGAACATCGAGCATTCTACTCGAATAAAGTCCTGATTCATTTTGGGTCTAGAAAAGTAAGGCCCAACGGGGCATGTCCGGCTAGCCCATAGGATTAGTTCGAGATTAGACAAGCTCTGTATCTCTAATACATGATATTTAAATCAAGAAGCCTGTGTTGGAATAAATGTTATATGTAAGCTCTACTACATGATATACTGTAAAGCAAACTTTTATGTGAGCTTTTAGATTGTATTTATTAGATTTCCCATTTGACTGAAATAAATGTTTTCACATTGTTGCTTTCTTTATGATTGCTTGTATGTTAAATGTCCAATTATCTTATATTGTAGACAATGTGGTGTGTTAGTAGTCACACAGTAGATTACATTGTCGGTCCCTTATAAGATATAAATGGTATTCACAACTGAGATAGTTATGGACATGACTATCGGTTAAGTTGTAGTATAAACTGGATATAGCTTATCTTGGCTATAGGTTTATACTAGTGCGCTGTGTCGCATTGAATGGATCACAGTTGAGACGTGTTCTTCTGTTCTGACTATCATGAAGAACCAAGGTCTCGTTGACTCTACTAATTCTTAACCCTAACTGTGATACTTAGATATGTGGGATATT